GAGAACACGGGGAGGGTCACAGGGGCCCGTGGGGTTCCTGCCAGGCCCTGCCTCTCACCCCATCACAGAAGAGCTCGGGCTGCCCCTCTCCCCCCAGCTCCCAGCCCCCAGGGCTGCGGGGAGGGTCACACACCTGAGCTGTGGGTAGGGAGCCACTTCCACCACCCCGTCGGCAGAGAGGTAGGAAGAAGGGGCCAAAGCCACCTCCTCCTGCTGTGACTTGGCCAGCAGCAGCAGCACCGGGGTCATCCTGGTGAAGCACTTGTCATCGGAGCCAAAAAGGAGCTGCTGGGTCTCCGTGGCAGGTAAGGGGGCACCTGGTGGGGAGAGGAGCAGTGAGGACGGTGGGCTGGGGTCTCCCACGTATCCCCATAGCCCACACAGCCCTGAGGGGATCCCAGGCAGGACTCAGAGGACACAGATGTCACCTTCCCAGCCCCAGGGGGGCTTGCCGGGTCCCTACCTCCCTCCCCACGGTGCCGGATGGCCAGGGATGCCTGGAAGCTGAGCTGCTCCCTGCCGCGCCGGATGGATGCCACGGTGGCTCCCAGGGCCAGGTACTGGGTGTCCCTGGCCAGGCAGAGGCTCTGTGTGGAGTATAAAGGTCCGAGGATGTGGGTGAGACACCACGGGGGTTTGGGGAGCACTCAACTGAGCCCCCTCACCGGGGTCCCCACTGGCGCTGGGTCACCCAGTCTGTGGGAAATGGGAGGGTCGGGCCCACCGGGAGCAGGGAGGGCAGGGGGGGCTCTGACACGCAGCCCTAGAGCTGCTCCGTGGGGTGGAGGGAGGCCCACGGGACTCGCGGGTGGGCAGAGAACCCCAGCGAGCTCTGCCCCAGACCCGCTTTCCCCCCTGCCGGGGCTGTTGCCTCCGGCCAGGCTGGAGGGTACCCGGGCGGGGGGGACAGGACCCCCAGAAGGGGCTGCTGGGTTCCCAGGTCCATCCCTCTGTCCTGGCAGGGAGCTGGGGACGGGGTAACAGCACCATCTTCAGGCATGGCTGGGGAGGGTGTGACAGGCAGGGAGGCTGGGAGGGGGTGGCAAAGGGACTGGGAGGGGGC